CTCTACCTGCATCCCAGCCTCAGGGGGCTGTTGTCCTCCCAGCGCCATCTTCCTGGAAACCAGCAACTGGGGGAAATGGAGCCGCCCCATTCACAAGCAAAAGATACTCAACAGACATCAACACCAAGATAAGACAGATGTTGAAAATATGCGATGAAGACTTTAAAGCAGCTATTTTACAAATACTCAAACAAGCAATCACAAACACTCTTGAAACAAATGGACCGCAGCAAGTCTCGGCAAAAAGCAGAAGCTAGAAAGAAGAACCAAGAGGAGATTTTAGAACAAAATATAGTAACCAAAATAATAAAGAACCACACTATATGGGCTTGAAAGCAAAAAGTAAACTTGACAAAAGATAGGAATTATCCAATCCAAACAATAAAAAGACAAAAGCACTGATTTAAAAAATGAGCAGAGCCTCAGGGGCCTGTGGGACAGTAACAAAAGGACTAAAGCTGTGTTGCCAGAATCCCACAAGAAAAGGAGAAAGAGTGCAGTACTTGAAAAAAAATATTTGAAGAAATAATAGCTAAAAATGTACCAAGTATGGAAAAAGACAAAAAATCTTCCAATTCAAATAGAACCCTCAACAGATGAACTCGAAAGAAATCCACATACCCAGACACGCTATAATCTAACTGCTGGAACTAAAGAAAAAATATCTTCAAAGCAGCCGGAGAAAAAATGATATATTCTCTATGGAGAAACTATCGGAATGACGGCAAACTTCTCACTGGAAACCGTAGACGCCAGAGGAAGTGGCACCACATTTTTAAAATGCTTAAAGAAAAGAAACCAACTGTCAACCCAGAATTCTATATGCAGTAAAAATATCCTCGAGGAATGACGGCGAAATAAAGACATTCTCGGATGAAGGAAAATGAAGAGAACCTGGTGCCAGCAGACCTGCTTTAAAAGAATTGCTGCGGGAAGTTCTCCAGACAGAAAGGAAATGATACCAGCAGGAGACGTGCAACATCAGGAATGAAGGAACAGCAACCAAAATAGTAACTATCTGGGTAACTATTCTTGCCCTGACTGTGTTTTTCCTCTGGAGCACTTTAAAATGCATTTGAACGTTCAAAGCAAACATCAAAACACTGTCTTTGAGAGTTTTTAATGTAGATGCACTAAAGACAACTATAACATAAAGCAGCCGTTTTCAACCGGTGTGCCGCAAGAATTTTTAAAACATGCAATCCCTGACAGTCCGTCAAGGGCACTGACCTTTTCCCCTTTAGACTGTCAAATAGAAAACTGCCAATAGCCAACACAACCATAGCCATCCGGTGTGAATGACTCAAAATTATACCTATTTTTTAAAATTTTTTTGGGTCAGATTGGCAAAAGATATAATCTAGTTTTGGGAGTGCCGCAGAATTTTAGTAATTAGCTTGTGTGTGCCGTGAGATGAAAAAGGTTAAAAATCGCTGGCAGGTGGATCTATAGAGTGATGGGTTCTCCACTCCACCGGAAGTGGTACCATATTGATTCGCCATCTGTGGGGAGATTGACTGCGGGTTTCAGTGTTTTCCAGCCTCGTCCATCGATTGTAAAGCCCTGCATCAATTTTTCACCTCAAGGTTTCGCGGCCATTGGTGACCCCATTCTTAATTAGTGGTTAGAAAATTGAGAGACCCTCATTCACTCATTCTTTTATTATAGTTGTTATTCTTCAATTAAAAGAAAACTTTCCAAGTCAGGTATTTAATTACTCAGAAGTATAAATCATATGGGAAAGGGAGGGTAAGAGCTTGATTCTTTCCTTTTATTTACCAGTTTTCAAAAGAGTGAGTTAGAACCCATATTTTTAAATGGTAGATAAGCCAAAGGAAAATGCTGGCTTAATTTGGAATGGATATAATTGACTCACTTTGGTAATTAAAGACCAATATCCACATATTTAAATCACACGGGGTCTGTAACCACGGCAGGGAGTATGTAACATGGCAGTCATTTAGAAGGTATCTTCTATAATGTGTCCCACTTGCTTTTAATTGCCGTTGGATAACTCTCTAGTATATACCTATGAACATATAGGGTGTCCCCCCAAATGTATACACACACTTTGAAGAATTACAAAGGCAGTGTTTATTAAAATACATTTCATTTTCAAAATTGAGCTCTCGGCTGTTAAGGTGTATATACATTTTTTGGGACACCCTGTAGATATAACATCTAGAATTCTCCCAAGATTATAAGATCCCCATAGCAGGAAGCAGAGATCGAGCTCAGACACACGAAATGAACTATAACAGAAGCATGTCTTTTCCATGAAGATGGAGCTGAAATTGAAGGAGGAAGCCCCTGCCCTCCCAAAGTCAAAGCAAAGGCTTGGAAGACAACAAAAGCAGTGCTGAAAGGCGTCCACAGCCACAAAAGAACCAACAAGATCCGCCCATCACCCAGCTTCTGATGGCCCAAGACACTGCGTCCAAATATCCTCAGAAGAGCACCCCCAGGAGCAACAAGCCTGCCCACTATGCCATCATCACATTCCCCCTGACCACCGCATCCACCATGAAGAAGATAGAAGACAATCATACACTTGAGTTCCCTGTGGATGTCAAGGTCAACGAGCACCAGATCCAACAGGCTGTGAGGAAGCTCTATGACACTGAGGTGGCCAAGGTCAACACCCTCATCAGGCCGGATGGAGAGAAGAGGCATATGTTCCACCGGCTCCCCACTAGGATGTGTTGCATGTTGCCAACAAAATCGGCATGATCTAAACTGAGTCCAGCTGGCTAATTCTAAATATAAAAATGTTTACAGTGTTAAAAAAAAAAGAATGTCCTTGGACATGCGAAGCCAAAGATGAAATCCTAGTAATTATGGTCTTCCCCTTAATCTCTCATAGTTTTAAGTCATTATACATTTTTGGGGGGGTTTTGTTTCTGTTTTTAAAAATATATTTTTATTGATTTCAAAAAGGAAGGGAGATGACCAGAGAGAATCATCAATGATGAGAATCATTGATCAGCTGCCTCTTGCACACCCCCTGCTGGAGATTGAGCCCGCAACCTGGGCATGTGCCCTGACTGGGAATCGAACCCTGACCTCCTGATTCATGGGTTGACGCTCAACCACTGAGCAACACCAGCTGGGCTCACTCTATGTTTTTATAAGCAATTACCATGTGCCAACCCTGCACTAAGCACTTTTCAGATATCTCACCTAATTCTCACAACAGCCCCAGGAGCAGGCTCTCAGCACTGCTTCTGGAGACAAGGAAACCCCTGTGCAAAGAGATCATGGAGCTCGCCCACCTCCTGCCTAATTAGGGCAAACACAGACCAGGCCAGACACGCCAGCTCAACCTCACCTGCTCAGCCAGCCACACCCTGTCAGTGGGAAGGTGGGTTTCGGCCACTGCACTAACCATTCAGTAATCGAGTGGCTGGGCTGTATTTCTGCCATCTGAGACCCAGAAGGTGAAATAAGGCAACAGGAGAAGGCACAGGAGAGAGTTATGAGCCCCCTCTGTCCCTGCTGGGAGGACAGAGCCATGACAGCTCCCTGGAAAGACATAAATAACACAGGAGACAGCCACCTCCTCTTCAGGGACTTAAAATAGAACCGACGGGATGAGGGAAAATCAATTTATCCAGTCATTGAAGTCGCTGAAACTTACGTTTTGAAAAAATTGATAACAGGAGAGAATGGTCACAGGAAAGAGGACATCTCAATTAAACATATAAGAGAAGACAGAGCGAGATGGAGGGGGTGGGGGAGAGAAAGGACCGGCATGAAATAGCCCAAATATTAATAGTGTTTCATTCTGGGCAGTTTCGTTTCCCTCTTTATACTTTCCTATATTTTGTAAATTCTTTTAATAGTCAGAAGAAAAAATGTTACTAAAATATGCAGACACAGAAAATAAATGGGTAAATTTGTCCAGAGCAGATACAGCAACCAGGGCTCCAGTAGTCTAACACATGAGGGGAAAGCAAAGAAGAAACAGTGAGCAGCCACCGGCATGGCCAGCAGCAGGCACAAAGCAACCGGCTGGGAGAGATGGGGCAGTATGGGGCGGGGAAGACACGCTAGAGGGTCACTGAGGCCGCTGTGTGTGAAGTGGTTCTGGACACAGAGATGCTGCAAGGAAGGGGCTGCATGTATCCAGGCCGAGAGGAGTATGACGCTCAATACAGAGAGCGCTTAGAGGCAAGGTGGGGTAGAGAGAACAAGGGGAGGGGGGGGTCTGTGTCCATACTGAGGAATAGTATACAGCAGGTAAAAGGAATCAGGGTGGTCACAAATAGAAAAACTCTAGCTTCCTATACTGTTTGAATGTTTTTCAAATATATAGCCTTCTAGTATGTATATAACTAATATAGAAACACATTTTTTCTTTTTTAAAATATATTTTTATTGATTTCAGAGAGGAAGGGAGAGGGAGAGAGAGACAGAAACATCAATGATGACAGAGAATCATTGATCGGCTGCCTCCTGCACGCCCCCCTACTGGGGATCGAGCCAGCAACCCAGGCATGTGCCCTTGGCTGGGAATCCAACCGTGACCTCCTGGTTCCTAGGTCAACGCTCAACCACGGAGTCACACTGGCCAGGCTAGAAACATCTTTTTTTTTTTTAAAGAATTCAAAGTAAGAAGGAACGCATGCGCACAGACCTGGGGGAGAATCACTCAGAGGAGAGTCTGAATGAGCCTGGAACTGGCTCAGCCCCCTGTGCGCTGCGTGACCCTGGAAGAGTTCGTTTCCCTCTCTGCACCTCAGATGCCTGACCTGTTCACAGGGATCACACACCTGCATTCGCACCGCTATTGTCAGAACTGAAAACAAAGTACACCAAGGCCCCGTGCACTCAGGAGAGCCCTGATGAATAGCAGCTGAGCACCGACACAAGCCGGAAGCGGTAAAGAACAGAGTCTGGGGCTCAGCAGAGAACGCCGGAGCCTGTGGTGGAGGAAGCCAGCGCTGAGAATGGCCAGCACGGAGGCGAGGGGCGGCTGGAGTGAACACGGGACCACTTACTGCAGTTCTCTTCGTCGCTGCCGTCGGGACAGTCCTCGAACCCGTTACACCGGAAGCGGCCAATGATGCAGTGGATGCCGCTGGCACAGGGGAAGAAGGTTGGGCCGCATTTCGACTTGACCTTGGCTGCGGGAGGACACAGGACAAACAGCAAGACGTCAGGAGGTTACGCTTTCCCACACGACACACCCACCCTGCTGACCCTGTGCATTTACCTGGAAGCCTCCAGAAGTTACTTACCACCACCACCCACCCCCAACAACCGCCCGATTGGAAGCCCACGGGCATCACCCTCTGGGAAGGGAGCGGCTGCTCCCGCTGCTCCCCAAGTCCCAGGGAGCCGACAGCACCTGCACAGCAGGGCTCACTCAACACGTGCCGCCCAGGAAGCAACGGGTGAGTAGATGGATGATGGATGGAGCGGGTTCTCAAGGTGCTAATGAGCCATTCCAGATTCATCACCTGGCTGTCGCAGTAATTCCCTACATTCCCTGAGTGCTTCTGACACTAGACGGAGCGGCCAGTGCTCCACGGGGATCATCTCTTTTAATCCACCCAGCAGCCACCAATGGGGCGGTGCGAGGAAGGGGTTCACCTGCTTTTATTCTGAGAGTTTGAGAGAGGGTGTCTATGTGACCAGCTCCCAGTAAAAACCCTGGGCACTGAGTCTCTAACAAGCTTCCCCAATAGAAAATGTTACACGCATTGTCACGACTTGTCACTGGGGGGTTACGTGTATCCTGCGTGATGCCTCTGGGAGAGGAAGCCCGGAAGTTTGAACTTGGCTTCCTCTGGCCCTCACTCCATTCACCTCTCTCCTGTGCTGTAACAAATGATAGGCTGAGTTCTATGACTCCACCCAGCACATCGCTGAACCACGGGGCAGTCTCGGGGACCCAGGACAAAGATGGGTCTGGTTCTCATCCCCACATCCCAGGTGTGCTCGGAGAGGTGACGTGACCTGCCCAAGGTCACACAGCTAAAAACCCTGGCTCTGGCGTGAGGGCCGGGCACTCAGACTCGGAAGCCACGCTCCCAGCCAGCTCCGTCGTGTTGCCCCCCTGCCAGAGGCTGTCACTTGTCGAAAGAGAAGCCAGACTCCTGCTCAAAGAAATTCTTCTTCCACTTCTGCCACACAAACAGTTTCAAGAGAAGCTGCTGTGGTTTGGGCTTGACTGAGTGTCCCGCTAACCACACAGCCCTGTGGTGTAATGTGCTTTCCCGTTAACGGCGATGGCTGCTCGGCCCGGCGATTGATGAGGTGTGAGGGGATCTATTACTGCATCCCAGGTAGCTGATCCCACCGAGCATCCCTCTCGTCGCCTGTCTTAGAGGCAGGAGTCATGATCTTCAAAAAGGAAGGGCCGTTTCTTTGGAACAAACAGGCAATAAACTGCGTTCATGTTCCTGCCATCAGCTGCATGCCACCGTTAGCAGCAGCTGATCCACAATCAAAAGGGTTTGCAGGCCTGGGACATGGCTCCGTGGCACCCTGGAACTGCTGTCAGTGCTGGCGTGCCCTTCACAAAGCACAAACTTGGGACAGAGTTCAAATTGTGGCTCCACTTTTAATGGCCTGGGGCATGTTTCTAAATATCACCGAGCCTCCGTTTCCTCAATAAAGTGCAGCTAACACCTACCTCACAGGGTTCTAGGGAGGAGTCAATGCGATCTATACTAATAAAAGGGTAATATGCTAATTGGACCGGACGTCTTCCGGACATCCTCTGGACAAAGCCACGGTGGCGGGGGCCGAGGCAGAGGCAGTTAGGGGCCATCAGGCCGGCAGGAGAGAGCAGTTAGGGGCAATCAGGCCGGCTGGGGAGAGCAGTTAGGAGCGATCAGGCAGGCAGGCGAGCGGTTAGAAGCCAGCGGTCCCGGATTGTGAGAGGGATGTCTAACTGCCAGTTTAGACACGATCTCTGTGGGATCAGACCTAAACTGGCAGTCGGACATCCCCCAAGGGGTCCTGCATTGGAGAGGGTGCAGGCCAGGCTGAGGAACACCCCCGTTCCCACCCCCTGTGCACAAATTTCATGCACCGGGCCTCTAGTAATGCATATAAAATGCTTAGCACAGAGCAGTGATGGCGAACCTATGACACGCGAACTCATTTTTTTGGTTGATTTTTCTTTGTTAAATGGCATTTAAATATATAAAATAAATATCAAAGATATAAATCTTTGTTTTACTATGGTTGCAAATATCAAAAAATTTCTATATGTGACACGGCACCAGAGTTAAGTTAGGGTTTTTGATAATGCTGACACGCCGAGCTCAAAAGGTTCGCCATCACTGGCACAGAGCATGGCACACAGGAGATGCTCAATTAATGATAATGCTTATGCTATTTATCACCAATCAACATCATCATCACTAGGCTTACCGAATTCTAAAATTGATATCTGGGCTGCTGGATAACTTTTCTGATTACCACAGTTAACAAAGCTCCTTACGACAACCCTCTATGAACTGACGTGAAGTGATCGCCCGGAGATATTAGTAAGTGCAAAAGCAACGTGTGAAAGAACACCTACAGTACTTTCACCTTCCACATAGCAAGAGAGGGGGATATAAGAAAATATACGTGTACTGCCTCATCTGTGAGAAAGAAACACAGGAAGGATAAGCCAGAAACTAAAAACACTGGTTACCTACAGAGGTGGGTGGGAAGGATGGGAGATGGGGATGGAATGAGCTGCAGGGACAAGAGGGATGCACATTCCTCTGAGTCTATCTGTACAACTCTGACTGTCGGAACCAAGACAGTATCTCACATACCCCATAAGTAAACAATTAAAATCAACCATGAGTGTGTGCGTGTGTGTGCACCTGTGCAATATAAACAGCAACAAATGCTCAACTATATTACAGATGAATAACAACATCACACTGAAAGGGGTGAGGAAGAAAAGAACTAGCCTAAGTAACTACGGAATCATTATTCTGACAGGACGCTAAGGCTAAAGAGAAAAAGAACTGTACACAAATAGGGTATTCTGGTTTTATCTGCTTGCCAGAGGGTATGGGTGAGCAATTCTGAAAGGAGCTTTTGTGTGTACCAGGTGGAACAAATACAGCAAGAGCAAGGTTTTTCTACTATCAGAGTGAGATGTTACAAATGAGGCGTGGGAAGGCTGAAATGAGCCCCGAGGCTTTGGACTGGATTTGAAGGCATCAGAATGAACTCAAGGTTTGGATACATAGATGATAGAAAGATAGATAGATAGATAGATAGATAGATAGATAGATAGATAGATAGATGATAGACAGATTGATAGAAGATAGATAGATGACAGATATGGAAGGGAGGGAGGGAGGAAGGCTTCCTGGCTTCCTTTTCGAGCCCATGAGGCATAGTTCTACCTCAGGACCTTTGCACCTGCTGTTCCCTCTGCCTGGAATGCCTTTCTCCCAGGAGTTGTCATGGCTCACTCCTCTGTTTATTTAGGTCTCTTTAACCACTGTACTGTCTACAGGAGAAACCCCACCTTCCACCCACAGTCACTCTAGCCCAGGGGTGGGCAAACTTTTTGACTCGAGGGCCACAATGGGTTCTTAAACTGGACCGGAGGGCCGGAACAAAAGCATGGATGGAGTGTTTGTGTGAACTAATATAAATTCAAAGTAAACATCATTACATAAAAGGGTACGGTCTTTTTTTTTTTAGTTTTATTCATTTCAAACGGGCCCGATCTGGCCTGCGGGCCGTAGTTTGCCCACGGCTGCTCTAGCCCTTATTCTGCTTTCCTTTCTTCATAGCAAAATGTCATGGATTTTGTGTTGGGATGTTTGGCTATGAACATACACTCACTGGAATACTTGCATTCGCTACTTTTGAAGGAGCTGCACTATACAGTGCCTGCATTTGGATGTCTAATAAATACTTGCTGAACATACAAATGATCCCGTTAAAGGAGAGAATGGGTTTGGGTGATGATAGTCAGCATTTACAGAATGCTCAGTACAGGCTGAGCATTGTGCTCCATATTTTACAGACATCATTTCCTTGACTCCTCACAAAGCCCATTTTACAGATAAGAAAACTGAGGTCCAGAAGTGAAGTGGCTTGAACCTGCTAATAAACAGAGTCAAAGCTCAAACCCTGCTCTTGCCTCATCAGCCTCCTTACAGATTTCTTAAGGCCCAGCCCAGCTCCAAAGGACTAGACTCTATAAGATAAAGAGAGAACAGAGAGTGAGAATATGAGTAATTATAAATGAATTAGCTACCATTCAATTAACCAGCTCTTTGGCCCTGGCCCTGCACCGTCTTCGGGAATCAGTCACGAGACTTCCTGCCTTGGTGGGGATGCTCAGATGCTGTCTCTGTCAGAGGGAGCCTGTCCCGTTTTGATTTACATCTGCGCCATCAGACCGCCTGCTAAGGCGACCTCCATGGCGGATCACGGGCGGCCAGCCGAGCGCCTGGCAGAGGCTCAGAGGGAAGCCTGTCGCTGACAGCAGCTGTCGGCTGCTCCCTGCCTGCATGACCCGCTGTGGGGCGCAGGGGGTCCTGGACCAAGTCTGTCCCCCACTTCCACGAAGGGGAGATTTCAGCACAGACCTCAGCAGCCCTGGCAGAAGGTGGAAGAAGGACTCTGTGTCTAAAATCGCACTGACAGAGGCAGAAGGGGTGACTCCATTCCACTGAGTACGTATTTAAATCCATCACTTTGCAAGGAGTTGCTCAATGAACTTCTCAAGGTGGCAGCTTTCATCAGCCAGACAGGGGACAGGGTTATCCTAGGTTGGTTCATTCCTGATTGGAGTCCCCCCTCCTTAGAGCCTGGCTGTTACAGTTCTGAATTTCACAGATCAGTAAAATAAAAATAAAAATAAAAAGGTTTAACTAGACGGGAGTGGACAAAGGACTATTTTTATTTGACCAGCAAGGACACAAGCAAACACAGGTGCAATCCCTGCTGTTCGCCCTAAATGAAAGGCCACTTCAGCATCTGCAGTGCAGGAAGACATGGCCCTTGGAGGGGTGTTTGGGGGTCATGCCAGAACTAGGGGGGACCAGGAGACATGCCAGCGCTGCCAGGGTGTGATGCCCTCAGATCAAAGGCCTGACCTTTACCTGCCAACATCTGGAGCACAGCAGGCCATCCACACAGGCTCATT